GTTTGTGAGGCTCAGCCTGGATACCCAGCTCTCTTTGTTCCCCTTCCGGAGGTGGCTACTGTGGAAAATTACCCAGAATGGGTGGCCAGGAGCCATGGGGGACTCCAAGCCACACCTCCCCTCCTGAAGTGGCCCTGCCCAGGAACCCACCCAGCGCCTGGCCCTCCAAGAGGCTTTTGCCATCTGGTGACTTCCCTGAAAATTCTAGCAGCCCTTCCCAGGGAGAGGAATGGGGAGAGGAAGGGCTGCCAAGTGAGCCTAAAGACCACTTTCTTCAAAGTCAGGAAGCTAGTGGTTTTTCACTTACTTACTTTGTGACCTGGAACCACTTCATCTTTCTGGATCTCAGCTAAAATGAGAATAATCCCTCCTACAGTCACTCTGCAGAGGCAGGTAGGGTGTGTTGTAGTCACTATCACAACAGACCTGCCTCACTGTTCTTTAAATGAGTTTACCACATATGTAAAGAGCACAGCCTGATAAATATGCATGCCCTAACTGCAAGAGTTAGGGGAAAGAGGGTAAGGCAAGGTCAACAGACCTGAAGCCAGACAAGAAACACCAGCTGAAACTGAAGCCTGGCGGAAGACTCTTTGCATATGTGGCATATTCAGGGGGTGGGCAGGGAAATGTTAAATCTTTGCCACCAAAAATACAAAACTTCACTCCACAGCCGGAGGTTACCAGGGCAGTCCTCAAGGTGAAAGCCAGGGCTGGGAGCTGCTGTTCTTGGGGGAAGCATGCTTCCCTTTGAGGTAGCTCCTCCCCTTCAAAGTTCCTGAGACGCCCCCAAGCAAGCGCCCCAGGCCCTTCTTGTCTGGGAAAGCTGAGCTCATACAAGTAATGGGTGCCAGGGCACTGAGTGGCACAAGCCATAGTGGTGGACCCCTGTCCTGGCGTGCCTCAAAGGGCTACCACTGTCTGCAGTGGCTACAGTCACTGAGTGCTTACCCATATTAACCCACTCAGTCCTTCCAGCAGTCATAGGAGGGCTGGGCTGTTATCCTTCCCAACTTCACAGCCCTGTTGCCCTTGAGCATGTCAGAGTCTGACTTGTCACCCAGTAGGCTGGGGCAGGGCAGCCACTGGAGACCCAGGGGGAGTTGGGGCACAGAGCCAGACAAGCCTCGCCCGGAAGGCCCTGGCACAGCCAATGGGCTCCCTGCCCGGAGTGGGGTGACATGGCGTCAGCAAGAAACTCCTAGGAGCCAGGCCCTGGGTCATGTGCCTTTCTTCTATTCCACCTGGGGGTTGGGGAGGGGCCATGGTGCTGGCTCGCAGGGTCTGGGGCCAGTTGGGCCTGCTTTCTCAGCAGGGCCTCCAGGCTTGACACCTGGCGGGGATTGCCGCCAGCCAGGTGTGTCCAGGACACCAGAGCAGGACTCACCCAGGCAGCCCCAACCCCTGCCCCAAGGCCTCCAGCCCTCCAGACTGTAGTCAAAAAGCCTGGCCCCTCCCTGCATGACCTCGGTTTTGCTGTGAAATAGGGGGTCACATCTTCCCCCTTTCTTCCCCAGGCATCTCTGAGCATCTTAGAAACAGAGGCATCTTCTGTGGGTTTCAAACCATTTGGGGCAGGTGTCCAGAACAGAGCCTCTGCTAAGGCCACTCATTCCAAGCCATGGCCACTATGGGTGGAGGGGCAGGCAGTGCACAAGAAGGCTTGGCTTGGCCACCCTGGGCATTACCCAAGAGGCTACTGAGACTCCTCTGTACTCCTGGAGGCCCCTGCCACCCTGCCTGCCCCTGTTTATACTTCACTTCTGCAGTAGCTAAGCAGACCTGCCCAGGTTACAGCTGAGGGGACCATGCAGCACCGGGTCAGCACAGAGCCCTGGGTTTCCACGCCCATCCCTTTTCCATCTGAACAACGTGGCTGTTGACATGGCTGATTCTGGTCCTAGGTGACCCTATTCTCACTCCAGATTGGCCTTGTCGGGCACTGGGCAGGTTACTCCTAGCTCTCTCTGCCTTTTTTGGTCATTGTCAGGCAAATCATGAGTCACTCAATAGACCCTCCACAAAGAGCTGGTTGAACCCTGAAGTCTTCAGAGGAGCAAGGCTCACAGACATGATGAATGAAGGGAGACATCTGTCCCCGGGGGGGCTGACTACTTGGGGAGAGGCCAGCCTGTACACTGAGGGTGTCACAGAATGGGGTGGGTTGATTTGGTGGCAGGGAGAGTGAATGAGGACCCCAGGCATCATCGAACCCCTGCAGGCCAAATCCAACTGTACATGGGTCCTAATTTTGACTTAATTGTCCAATGTAGATTTCACCAGAAGGCTAGATTCTGGCTAGTCTTTAAAAATGGGACTGCTGAGCAACACTGGACTCCATAACTGGGTGCCCCTTTAGCCAACCAGGACTGTGAGCTTTCCCATAGCCCCTCAGTCCCTGTGTCTCACACCCAGCCACTTCTCTCATTATAAATAAGTGTAATAAAAAGGCCCCTGTAGGGCATGGATTTAGCACCCATGATCCCCTTTCACAGATCAGGAGAGTAAAGATCTGAGAGGGGCACTGACTTGTTCAGTGAAAGCTGCATCCCGGGCAGGGTGCTCGTAGAGTGGGCATGGGGGTGGAGAGGTGACGGCCACAGAAAGAGGAGTCCACTTACTTTCCAAAAACATCCACTGACTCCCTAGTGCAGAGAGCAGAGGTTTTCCTCCCTGGGATGCTGAGGACTGGGGCTTGGAGGGCCTGGCCAGAGCCCTCTAAGGACCACCCAGCAAGAACCGGCAGGAGCCCCTCTGAAATAAACTGGAATTACTGGGTCACTCATGCCTATTTAAGGCCTCTGGTTCCCCCACTCCACCCCCTCAGGATTCAGAGATCCTTACGTGTGCCACTCCTGGCCCTCTCCACCCACAGTGGGATGACCGTGTATTGTCAGTGCCTCCCCAGACTTCACCCTCTCTCTGCTCAGTCTGGGTTTCAGGCTGGGTTCTGGGACTTCTGCTGAAACTACTGGGAAAGTCACCCTCTCCTGACCAGTAGAAGATCAGGCTGGAACTGCAGCAGCCTCAGTCCACCATAGGGAAGAGCCCACCCGGAGGAAGCAGAGCCAAACACAGAGGCAGATTCCTGCCAAATCCCCAAGCACCCATATCCAGCTGTACCTGAAGCTGAACTACCTGACCTTTTCAGTTACATATGCCAGTAAATTCCTTTCTGATTAAATCAAACCTCTTTTTGCCACAAGCAAAAGAAGTTCCAATATGCGACATCTAAAGGGTTTGGGCTACAAATTACTCTTATCTTGGACAGAGAGGTCCTGACACTGCTTTAACTTTACTACAGCATTTCCTAAACTTTTTCTCCACAGAACCTCTCCTTTTAAGGAACAGCTGTTAATGTATTGGGAAAATGCATCTTGGCAAGTGCCCACTAGGGCTCTTGCAGTCATCCCAGGAACCTGGTCAGTTGGGTCAGAGTTGCATGATTTCCCTCCCTCACCCGTGGCTGGCTGCCTACTGCAACAGCAACAGCTGGGCTGCTTGCCCAGAGCCTCCCTTCCCGCAGGCCCCAGAGGGGCTCCAGGGCTTCCTGGCTGCAGTACCCTCGATTCTGGGAACTGAGCCAAGCTGCCAGCTCCCCAAGAGCCAGAGCCCAGCAGCCCCTTTCCTCCAGCACTGACCTGGCCCACAACAGGCTCTCAGGGACAGGGGCTGGAAGCACAAGTGGACCAGACGTCCTGGCAAGTCCATGGGGGTTTCTCAGGGCCACCCCCTCTCCATATGACAGAGACACAGCTCAGGCCTCTCTTGGCGTCTGCAGTATATCATGCAGGGCAGAGAATGGGCTCAGGGTCCACGCCTTCTGTTTGCAGGGACGGGATGGCTGGCCTCCACTTTTGAGTCCCACTCCCATACTCCCCCGGCATGGGGGCCTCCGTCCCACTCTGACTGGCTAGAAATAGGTAGGGTCTCTGCAATCCCCTTGAGCCCAGGGAGGCAACTGGCTGAAGGGAGCTGGGTGCTGCCACTTCTGGCCTGGGATGTTGGCTGTCTCACTGTGGCCCCATCACAGCCCCCTCCTGCTGCCCTCCCAGAAGGGCTGGCATTCGGGGGAGGGGGGGAGGCCTCCCCTGCTGTTCATGAAGATGGTATCTTCCCTGGGAGGCCTAAAGCCTGGGCTTGAGTGTTGGTTCTGCTGATGATCCCTGTGTGGCCATAGGCAAGTGTATGGCTTTTTCCAGACATTTCTTTACCTGCACACGAGAGGTTGAGCAGATGTCTCTGCATTTATTCCAGGTTTACCTGGCTATTTGATGAGTCTACCCCATTTGAGGTCCATCTTTGAACCCCTGGAGGTGAAGGGATTAAAGGGCTCCCAGCTTCCCAAGGCCACTCAGAGAAGGGGCAGGCACCACACGGCTTCCATAGCCCACCCCTCAAGGGCCTGCTGAGAGACCTGCTTCCTGGAAGACCACCACCTGGTGCCCAGCTCCCAGCACAGGAGAGAAGCATTTTTAAAAGGGAGAGAGGGATGGAGGTGGGGGAGGTAGGAGTGACTGCTAGAGTAGGGAGTGATTAAAGTTGATTGTGGTGATGGTTGCGCAGCTCTGTGAACATACTGGAATGCACTGAACTGTGTCCCTTAAACGATTGAACTGTGCTGTAAATGACATCTCAGTGGAGCTACTGAAGGGGATGCTTGGAGCAGCAGCTCTCAAACTGCGCACCTGGCATGTAGAAGGTTTGAAGGCCCTGCCAAGTTTGGGAAGCCCAGCGCAGGGGCGCTGAGGTGGCTCTTGGGCCTGTTTGCTCAAGGTGTCGGATACTCTGGGTGGGAATGAGTGCCGCCCAACACTGGGACCCAGGGTGAGGCAGGACAACAGCCCCAGTATAGAGCTCTCAGGCAGGCTGTGGTGGGTGGCTTACAGCTGCCACCACCGGTGCTCCCGCCACCAGGGCCCTGTGGCAGCCCCTGCTTAAAGAACACAGGTGGTCAGATCCTGCCAGCCCTTGGGCAGTCACAGCCAACTTCACAGAGATCATATGGGAACCATTTACTTGTTTATTGTGGAATATTTTACATGCAAGAACCCGAAGTTGAGAGACACTATCTGGAAGGAGAGCCAGGGTGGGTGGATGCGCTGGTGACACCTGAGCCTTGAGAGCACTGCCCTGCCCTCCAGACCCGGCTCTGCTGCAGAAATGCACAACACTGACAGGACACCAGACTTCTGGGACGACTGGACAGCAAACTCAACACACTCCTTTTCTCAACAGTCTCCAGTAATCCTGAGAACCCTCACACATGAATTGCAAACTTTAGGAAATAAATATCCATTCCCCTTTCTCCAGGACAGCCTGACGGTATAGAGAGAAGCAGTGACATGCCGCCGCCTGAGTATCAGAGCAGGCGTGGCACTCAGGGAAGACTGGCTTAGACCTCCATGGAAAGAAAGGCTGCAGACGGGCACAGGGAGAGGCAGGCACCAGAGGGAGTATCTTCTGGCTGTTCCCCATTTGGGTGGACAGGAGAGAAGCCAAGTTCTAACAGGAGGTGGTGGCAAGGCTCGCAGTGGGCAGGCTTGAGCCCAGACAGAGCACAGCCTCCTCCCCCACAGTGCTTTCCCCCAGCTGGCCCACAGCACCCTGGAATCATCCAGAAGGCTGGGCTGGACTGAGAAGCATTGTTTGTGTGGAGGCTAACTGGGGGATGTTGGCAGGAAGGAAGAGGAGGAACGGGAGTGTGGGTGCCTTAGTGATGCTGGAGGAGCCCGAGCGCCTGCCCCTATTGGGCCACCCAGAACCCTTGTGCAGCCTTTGGGGGTGGGGGTGTGAAGGTGAGTGATGGCACAGGCCCCCCACCTCCCAGGCCTCTTGCTTTGGACCCCTGGGTGAGGAAGGGAAGGGCAGTGAGCAGAGGCAGGTCCAGGACAGGCAGCACATCGCTGCCACAGAGGAAGGTGAAGGGCCGCCTTCCCTCTGGCCCAGGCATGCTGATAAGACCTGGCGTCTGCTCGGAGCCTGGGGAGCCCAGCAGGAACTGCTCTGGGGCAGGGCCCTGGCCACACTGCCACCCACTGCCAAGGAGGTAGGCAGGAGGGATGGTTCCTCTTCACATCTCAGCGCAATGAACACAGAAAAGGTTATACACACCCCCAAGAAAATGTTTTGACAAAATAAATATTTTAACCTATAATCAGGTATAATTAGTGCTTATAAGGACTCCCAGAAATAATTTAGTGTAATTAAGTACATACTGTCTGATTTCTAACACTTTGTGGTGAGGCTGGTGGCTCACCAGGGTCTCCCTCTCCAGGGGGCAGGCTCTGGGCAGCTCTCCTACCAGGGCTCTGCTGCCATGGAAGGGTGCCTGTGGCCTCAGGACAGGAAGGGCTGAGCTGCACCCCCTCAAGGGCACGGGACCTATACTTGCTTCCTGTGCAGGCCTCAAGCGTCACCTCAGCCTCAAGCTAGGGGCAGCTGCCTCTGCACGTGCTGTGAACAGGAGGGTGGCTCCAGGTGGGAAGGCAGGTGATACTTCTCTGCATGGCCAATGCCTTCCTGCCAGCTGGCAGGATCCACCACCACCTGCTGCCTAGCTGGAGCTGGGGGCAGCTCTGGACCATGGGGATGAGAGGCGGCTTTGCTGGGGTCCCTGGGGCAGGTGCACTTCAGCTTCACTTGCCACCAGCAACCTGCTCTCCTTTCAGGCCCTCAGACCCCTGGTCTTGTGGGGACTTCCTCTCACAGGATGGGGAGGCTGGCTCTGCCCTCAGAGGATGCAGGACAGCAGCCGTGGTGCTCCTGCAGGGTTGGCCACCCGAGGCCAGCTGCCCACCACCACGGGCTGGCAAACTGGCAAATGAGAGCCCCTGGCTTTAACAGACAATCCTTTAGACTGCACCAAAGGGCAAGGGACACTAGCTGGGGCTGCTGGGTACAATGGCCACCCCAGCCACCTTCTCTGCAGCTCATGTCAATCCAGTAAACATCAGCTGTCTTAGCATCCAGGCTAGCCTTAAGGGCTCTGCCCTCAGGAAGTGTTGAGAGAGGTGAGTGCTGGCTGGGCTGTTCAGGGGGAGCAGAGGCGTTGCCTGTGCTGCCAGAGATGGCAGGGCAGGAATCAGTCTGGCCAAGCTCCGAGGAGCTTCCTGGGTGTCCTCTGAGGAACTGGAGTATGACATCTCCAGCTGGTCCTGCCAGATGGGCCCCCCCCAGCCAGATCCCAAAGCCTCCTTTCTGGAGGAAGCTGAGGTGGTGCTAGACAGGGCATGGGCTCCAGGGTGCATGCCGTGCTCTCCACCAGAACTGTTCCTGCTGGTGCTCAGCATGGCCCCTGGCTGGTTAGAGCCTGCAGCACAGTCTCCACCTGTGTCAGCCCAGCCTCTCCACTCAGTGCAGGTGGGAAAGGTGGACCCTAACACCTGGCAGTGCCTGCTGACACAGACCTCGCCCCAGGGATAAGGGATGGTACAAAGCCATTTTCTGGGTGACAGCAGCACAGGCGTGGGTGAGGCTGCACCTGGCTTGGGCTGAGCCCTGAGTACGTGCTCCACAGCCAGGAAGACACACAGAGAGGACTCAGGATGGGAGCAGGTGTTGCCCCTCCACCCCACACCCCTCTGCTGCTCAGCCCCAGGCTCTGTCAGCCTTCTTGGTTAGCTTGGAGAATACAAATCTGTGACCTGGGGGTCTAGGGTGGGGGGAGGTCAGGATGTCGGAACAGTCTGTGAAGGTCAAGGCCTTGCCCAGGAGCAGTGCAGGGACCTCAGCGTTGCTCTGGCCATCAGGCACTGGGGTCTGGGAGACCAAAAAGCTGTCTGTGCTGGGCCCTGGGGTCAGAGGCACAGAGGCTGCCATAGGCCAGGCCATGGCCCCAAGCATAGCATGCTCCAAACCCGCAAGCTTGCCCAAGCAAGCCAGAGCAACACCTCCATGCAGGCCCCTCCACAGAGGGCCACTGTGTGAGGAAAAGTGAGGCACATGTGGGGGCTGCCACTTGGTTTCGGGTAGTGTCGTCTGCAGCAGCTGCCAGCATGCCCGTGGCCACTGTCCGTTGGCTGCGTGCTGCCCTCCCAGCACCCCTGGCTCTCTCCCCCCCAGTGTGTGGTTCCATGAGGGGCCCTCTGGTCCCAGGCTCCCCTGCTGAGTGATGAAGGTGACCAGAGAGACAACCCAAGTGTCTGCTCAGGAAATGGTCCCAAGGGGACTGCCTTGCCTGAGGCTGGGCCCTACTGCCCGATCCTCCTGAGAGGAAACATGGGCAGAGGGAGCCTGTGGTGGGCAGGGCGGGGTGAGGGTGAGGGGCCTCTGGCTGCAGCGACACTGTCCCACCACCCAGAGAGAAGGTGGCCAAAGCTGTCCTGACTAGTGGGAGGCCTGGGAACAGACACAGTGGCATTTCCATGGAGACACAGCAGCACAGGACTGAGGACTGAGGACTGAGGACTGAGGGCTGAGTGGGGGCTGGGGATGGGAGGAGAGGCCAGTGCCTGGTAGGGAGGGGGTGGAGTCGAGAAGTGACTTGCCATCTGGGGAGCCAAACCACATAACAGCTCACAGGGCGAAGAGGGCATCGTCTGAGCGCTCTGGCTTCTTCCGGCCGGAGGGGTTTGAGATTGGGGTGGGGGCCTCTGCTGGGGGTGAGGGGAGGCTGGGAACCATTTCAGCAGCTCTGGCTCTTTCTTCAAGGAATTTATCAAACTCTGCAATACAAAACCAGGGCAGAAGCCAGGATTGGTGGGGGGCCAGGCCCACATTAAGGCTCAAACAGCCATGTCCTACCTGTACCCCACTCACTTGTGCCCACAGGGTCACCCCAGCATGAGTCCTCACCCTGGCTACACTGGCCTGGGCCACCTGCCAGCGAAAGAGCAGAGTGACAAGGGGCACACAAGCCAGAGCCAGGGGTGCATCTGGTGTTCTGTTGCTTGGGGACCTGTCCTCAATCCCTCCTCTGCTGCCTCCAGGACAAGCAGGAAGCCTGGGGGGCGGGAGGGGTGATGTTGACAGTCGTAATTCTGTCCCATCCAACCTGCTGCTGCCCCCCTCCTGACCAGCACTGGAAGCAGGGCAGGGAGAGAGGAGGGGCAGTCCTGCTGAACCTTGGCAGTGAGCACCCCACCTCCCCAGAGCAAGGTTCTATGCCTGAGGGGGTCTGACCAGATGGTCTGGCTGAGGGAGGAGGCTGTGCAGAGTAAAGGCTGGTAGACCAGAGGGGAGGTCCAGGAGGCAGGATGGAAGGGGAAGGGGGGTGAGAGAGGGAGAAGGGTGAGGGGACCATGCTGGGAACTTCCCCATAGGACCCGTATAGCTAGTCCCCCAGAAGTGAGGTCACAGGGCACCAGGCCTGGAGAGGCCCCTGTGTACCCTGTAGACTGCATGCCCATGCCCTGCCTGTGCTGGACTGAGCATCTGAAGTGGGCAGACTGGTTAAGAGCACCAGCTTGGGCTCATGCTGACCTGAAAGGCAGTATGAACCTACTACTCATGAGCTCCGTGACCCTCTAATAGTCATGTGCTCTTTCTGAGGTCCCTCATCAGCATGAGGCCTAGGTGGAAGGGAGGCAAGGAGCCCCGGCCCAGGGGCCCAGCCTAGGCCAGGTACAGAAGGTGCTCCAGCAGCAGAGGCTCCAAGGTGGTAGGGGTGCCAGCCCCTGTGCACCCCCAGAGCCCGGGGAGAGAGCAGCAAACGGGGGCGGGGGATGCTGTAAAGCCACAGGCCAGGCCATACCTTCACTTGTGACGCCCTCCTCCAGGTCATCGCCCTTCTGTGGGAGGAGCAGAGAACAGCATTAGGGCTCTACCAGCCTTGCCACCTCACCCACCAGCAGCCACCCCGGGACATCACTGCCCATGACAGTCCGAGCAAAACTTCCCACTTCTCCTTCCCAGAGTTCTGCAATAGCAAAATACTGTTTATCTCAATTGTTTTTAAAAAGCAAAAATTAACCCGCTTGAATAGGTTCTAGGTTTTGACCCTCCAGGAGCACCCAAAGGAAGAATCCAAAAACAGATGCAAGCTGGCTCTCTGGGCTGAGCCTGCCCATCTCTCCTGGAGGGGCCACAGGAGTGGGAGCCCGAGGCGCACCCAGGGACCCTTAGGAGCTCTTCCACTCAGCGTTCCTTCTTAGCCAGCTGCAGGTTGGTTCTGGGGAGTCGCTGTCCATGCCAACAGCTGGGAACCATCTGAGGCCTGGGACAGTCAGAGCCATGAAGCCCACGGCACAGAGCCTGGCACCAGGCAGTACTTGGCAAGGGAGCCCTGTCCGGCTGGAGGCTGCCTAGGAGCTGCGCCAGCCTTCTCCTGTGGGCCGGATTCCATCACCTGCTGCCGGTCCTGAGGAGCCCTGGAGGCTGTGTGACCTCTTAATATGAGAGTGGATCAGACCTGCTTTTGTTTGGAGAACTCGGCAGTCACATGGAACTCACTACACAGACAGTGCCAAGGAGGAGAGTGGGATGGGAAGTGGAGGAGGCCCTGAGCTGAGCCAGGAGACCAGCTTCTTTCTTGGCTCTACCTTGACCTGCTCTGCAGTCTCTTGCTCCCCTTTCTGGACCTTGGGGTCCCCTTTGTGAGGCATGGCACCTGGGTGGCCAGGGGTGTCTTTGGGAAGCCTGGCCTCCCAAGGAGGTGGCCCAGAGCAGTGGGAAGCCCTATTTCAGGTCTGCTATCCCCTTGTGGGAGGGGCCCCATCGGTAGCCCACACCCAGCGAGGCTGACCCTGTTAAAGAACTTCCATACTCCACCAGCAAGGCCCCTGAGGAGGAGACAGCGAGGAGCAAGAGATGAGGTGTCTCCAGGTCTGGGGAAGAATCCAACCAGCCTCAGCCAATGACCTTGGCTAAGCCTCTTCCCCTCCCAGAGTCCATTTCTTCATCCATCTCTAGCCAACAACCTCCACCCTGCCTCTAGGACAGGCTACTGAGGTAAAGGTGCTTTGTAAGGGATAGAAGGAGGGCTGGCCACCGACGCCTCCTTCCTCAGGACCTGCCGCCACTGGCAGATGCATAATGTCTCATCTTTCTGCCCTGTCTCTGGGATGGAGACAATGGTCTCTGGGGCAGGTGTTCTCTTGGATCCAAGATACCAGAAGATACTGGGGAAGGGAGGTATAGTGGATTTTTCCTTTTTTAAATCCTCACCCAAGATTATGTTTCACTGATTTTAGAGAAAGGGGAAGGGGGAGAGGGGGAGAGAGAAACATCAAGCAGTTGCCCCTCCTACATACCCCCTCCAGGGACTGAACCCACAACCAAGGTATGTGCCCTGACTGGGAATCGAACCAGCAATCTTTCGGTGCATGGGTCGATGCTCCAACCAGCCAAGCCACCTGGCCAGGGTGACAGTGGATTTAAAATAAAAATCAACTGGCCCTGGCTGGTGTGGCTCAGTGGTTAGAGTGTCGACCTACACACCGAAGGGTCGTGGGTTTGATTCCCAGTGAAGGGCACATACCTGGGTTGCAGATTCGATCCCTGGCCCCTGAGGTCAGGGCACATGTGGGAGGCAACCAACGATGTGTCTCTCTCACATCAATGTTTCTCTCTCCCCCCCTCCCTCCCTCCTTTCCACTCTCTCTAAAAATCAATGGAAAAAATATCTTCAGGTAAGGTTTAAAAAAACAAACAAAAAACTACCCCAAACAAACAAACAGAAAAACCAAACACCCTATTAATCTCTGTGTATATGTCACAGTTAAAGAAAATGAAAACAAAAGAACAAAAACCCCTCAAAAACAGAAAACCCCACAAAGAAAAACCAAAAAAAACCCCAGAAAACAAACGAACCCAAGCACACACACACCTGAACTGAAACGTAACAGGGGTGGGGGTGGGGGGGTGTGCTGGAGCCGGCTAGAGCTAGCTGAGTCCCAGCTCTGCCTCGGAGGCCAGGGTGGAGGGGCTGTGCTCAGCACTGGCGTCAGCACAGCTGGCTCCACAGCCTCCGTGTCAGAGGTGTCGCCAGCTGTGAGGATCTGGTGGCTGCAGGAGCCACATTTGCCCCTGCTTCCCTCCTCCACCCCCACCCCCCGGGGGCATCCCGTGGGTCGTCCCTGAAGCCTGTCCTTGCCACACCCCACACTTGAAAGAGAAAAGTCGAGTCTCACCAGGTCCGTCCTGAGCCACACCTCAATGTCGTCCATGACAGAGGGCTGCGCAACGGGGATCTATGGAGGGGCAAGCAGTGGGCCAGGCAGCCGCACAGCCAGGCAAGGGAAGACAGAACACCAAACAAAGTAAATCATCACAAGCAACCCCCAAATGAAACCAGAACGTACAGAGAGCAAAAAACAAACAAACAAACAAAAACCCCACGTGGGCACAGCAGGTGTGGGCAGCCACACGAATGACAGGCGCGGAAGCGATGCGGCGGCCAGTTCTAAGCAGCGGGACTGACCAGCGGGGCGGGGCGCCAGTACACATTCTTGAAATGGAGAACTTTTTGACCGTGGTGTCAGTCCTCCCGTCATGGGTCTCAGCCTAAGCTGCAAAGCACCTTGCAGTCTCAGGAATGCGCTGCCCTGCAGGATGACCTTGAACACATTGGTGATGAGAACTGGAGGACTGCCTACTTGCTGTTGAGCCCAGTCTCTGGGGGGTGACTTGATGAGCCACTAGTCGTCCCTGATGCCACTGGGGAGGCCAAGTGGCAGTATGTCCAGAGCAGGAGTCCCGCGGTCAGGCAGGTTGCAGCCAGCCTTGGGAGCCCGCTGGGCTCTGTTGCTCACTGCAGGTATTTCCTGGTGTCCTGGTCCATCCCTAAGTGGGGGAGAGCACAGGCCAGTGTGGCCTGGCCTGCAGGCGGCGGGTACCTTTCGCCACCAACAGAAACAAAGGCTTTGAGGACCAAAGGGACTGTGAGGCTTCAGTCACCTCTGTGTCGCTTTAGGAGACTGAGTAGGTCTGAGTGCAATGGCTTCCTCTGTTACGTCCTTTCTTCCTAGCTCTCAGTAGTTGTCTGTGCTTTAGCAGACAAACAAGAAGTTCACTGAGATCTGGGGAGCAGTTTTCGGGGGTGACTGGGATCCCGAGTAAACGAAGATGCATCTCATGGGTGCCTGAGCAGTGCTCACTCAGGGATACCAGCCAAGGGCCTTGGGGGCACTGTTCTGAAAAATACATTTGGCTAGAACTATTTAAGTTGCTGTCAGATATAACATCCTAAGAAGTAAAGATAAACTTCAACCCTCTAGAAGTCACGTTAATGAAACGCTGGTTCACAGCCTAGACAAATGAGATGACTGACCCAGTGGCTCACTCACAAGCCCATTTCTAGAAAAAATGCAGCACTGAGTCCATAGCTGGCTTCACCCCACTGTGACAAACTAGGTTAAGAATAAAGTTAAAACAAGCAGTAAGAGGCCTGTCTCAGTGTTTGCAAATCTATGAAATGACATGACCTTAACAAAGGAGAACAAAGACTTCCTATCGCCAGCCCAGCCCCAACGTGACAGCCACGCCTCGCGGCAGCAGCCTGCCACCGGTGCAGTTTGGGCGCAGCAGAACGAGGGCGTTGCAGGCCCGGAGCACACTGAGCAGGCATCTGCTTGGCCGAGTCCCGCGCACTCTCATTGGTGAGGATCAGACCCCTCACTCTGGTGAACTGGAGCGCCTTACATGCGTGCGCCCAACCCCAGGCCCGGCATGGGCAGTCCACACACATTCCCACAGAGGCTCAAGCCAACCTTGTTCAGATTAGTGAGACTGTTTCCATTGTATTTCTTTGACTTACTAAGGATTTAAGAATGTTGGAATGAAAAGATATCAAGGAGTTCAAATCACCCTGAAATGGCTCCTAGGGGCAAAGAACATGTGTTTCTCACTCTGGAGGACCAATGCCCAGTGGATGTGCTGACAGCACTGAGGGCAGCGCCCACCTTCCCCACTGAGAAGCAAGCAGGGGGCACGCAGGTGTCACCTGCTGATCCCAGGCTTGCCGGCAGGACTTCTGCCGACACGTCCCTCCGACAGAACAGGGCAATGGTCATCGTCTTGGTGCTCCTAAGTCAGAATGCCAGGCCTCTGGGAAGGTGCACCAGGTTCTCAGAACTAAAGCTTGAAGTCAGCCGCTTCTCTGAAAACACCCAGCGGCAGCTGCTGCAGCGAATGCTGGGCTCTTCTCTACCCTCCTCACCCCCTAAAAAAATTCCCCTAAAGCTGGATCACAGGAACACTTTTCTGCCTTCTCCTAGACTTCTCCAGATACGCAGTGTGCACGTGGAGGCAGCCTCCAGGCGGGACCCAGAGCCAAGCTGAGAAAGCCCTGGGCGAGCCCAATGGCCTAGCTGGGCTGGCGAGCTCTGCTGTGGCTGGGCCAGGCCCCTGACCCTGGAATCACTTTCTCACTCAGCAGCTTCAGATCCTCTGCTTTCCTAAGAAGCCTGAGCTTGCAGTGGGGGGCAGGGGCTTGGACAATTCTGGCCTCAGTTTCCTCAATCTGTGAAAGAGGGTAAGCTAGGTGGTATTTAGCTTTCACCATTCATGACTCCGAATCCCTTCACTTCCAGGTTGGCGAGTCTGTTTTCACATTTAGAAACCCAGGGACGGCGCCGAGGAGGCAAGGGGCAGTGGCAGCGGAGCTCAGTCAGGAGGCTGCACTGCAGCCAGGCTGGTAAAAGGACAGGAAAGACACCCATGGAACCCAGAGGTGGTGATTCACCAAATCAGAATGACTTGAACCAGCGCAGCATGAAGTCCTGGAGAAGGCATGCTGATCTGACCAGAGATGCAAAGGGAAAGAATGTCAAGGCGAAAGCACCAGTCTGCACACCAGGCTGGGAATCACACAAGGAAACTCAGGGGCCAGGTGCTCCAAGGCTCGGATGGGCTTAGGGCGAGGATCCATGACTCACTGACGTGCACAGCCCTCTGAGGTTGTTAAGCAGTTTGCTTCCACCAGTATGGAGCTAGGAGTTGAGGCAAAGTCACCATTGCAGATGCGTAAATCAACTTTTAATAAATTAACTACCAGTTGTTAAAGACAGACAGAAAGAAAGAAACCCAAGGATGTCAGAAATGACTGGAACTGACCCCTCAGTGTGAGAGGCACTCGGCCTCAAGGCGTGAATGACTGTGGCACTAGGTGTGGGCTGACAGGAAAGTTTCTGTAGCTATGTCACTCCTGCCCTCCCAAATCAATGGAGTAAGGATCCCAGCAAGGTCAAGCCCCTTCCAATCCTGTAGGTGCTGCCAGGCAGGGCTGGAGAGACTGCGAGGGAGGAGCAGGGAGCTCCACCCAGGCTGACGGAGGACAGGAGGCGCCTGGACTAGCAAAGAGGGCCCTGGACCGTGTCACTGTCACAGGCCCCTGGGAGGCCTCGGTGTTATCCATCCAACGAGGGCTGGCCCAGCTTATCCCTGAGAGACTGGGGGCTCTGTCCCGTCATGGTTTAGCATCTCCTTAGGTAATTATCCATGCCGAAGGCTGGTCCAAGGGGTTTGAAGAAGAGTGTGAGTTGGGGAGGAAGAGAGAAAGGGAAAAGGAGATGTGGAGGAAGAGCGCCCTCCAATAAAGACCAGGGCCTCGGCCTAGCCCCTCTGAGGACAGGCCGGGTGGGGCTGGCATGGCAGAGGCAATGGTGAGATGAGCCCCTGCCCATCTTCAGAATCCAAAGAGAAACTGGCATCTCAGATGCCAGTGGCAGATTCGGAAGATAGTGGTGGGTGAGCTGTCTGCTGTCAGCTGATCCTTACTTGGCTGCAGGCAGGGCAGCTCTGCTTAGGGAGCAGCAGGGTCACCTGTCCAAAGGGAAGAGGTGCTGGTCCTCACTCAGTCACAGCCAGTGCTCTTTATGACTTTGAATTTGCTGTGTCTGGGGTCCTCCCCACCCCAAATCTGGGCTTTAGCAGCAGCAGACTCCTTCTTCTAACCTACTTCTGTTCTTGTGACAATATTCACTCACATCCAGATACTTCCTGGCTGTATCCAGCCATGGGTGACACTCCTCTCTGGTCAGAGCCAGAAAATGGCCCACAAGCTGGAGAGGTTGGGGAGGGTCAGCACACACGCCAGCAGTCTCTGGGCAGGCTGGTCCATGACAGTTCTCAGGGTTTTCTTCAACTGGCAATGAGCCTGGTGTTAACTCGGTGCTGAAGTCCCAGGAGAGCCAGGTCTGCTCCCCACAGCCCCGGCCCACAGGGAGCCTAACTGTCTGGTTTCCAATGCAACAGGAACAATTTCTGTAGCCCAGGCATGCTATTTCCAGAGAAGTGAGGAATCCTCCCTACTGGCTTCCACTACCACCCCAACGTAGGGAGTGGCCTAGGAGCCCTTTGGTCTCACTCAACAGTACAAAAAGTTTCCAAGTAAAGAATTTGTACCTGGGAGGCATGGAAAGACTCAGGGCGCTACACTGCAAGAAATAAGGCAAAGCAATTAATGTACGTCGTTTAAAAGAAAAACACTGCAGTCAGGCAGGTGAGAGACCAGGTTAGCTGTTAGTTGGGCTTGTTTCTGGGAAGTCAAAGACTAGAGCTCTAGGAGGAGACAGGGCAGCTGGGGGTGCCTGTGTGGGCAGAGGCAGGCACCACCACCAGCTGCCAAGGCCACACTCAGGGTAACTTTTGTGGGCAGTATCCTTTTTTTGCAGGATTAAAGGCACAAGGACACATGGCTGGATCCTTCCAATTTGGACAATGAAGGTGACATGGTCTCTAGGAGCCTGCTCGATAGCCACCCACATGTGTGGGACAGAGCCCCAGGCTATCTCTAAAGAAGCAAACAAGAGCTCAGGCAGCCCCTACCTCTAAGAATGGCTGTGGGTCTCATGCAGAAGCAGAGAGCCTGCTGGGCGGACAGGTGGAGGGAGCTGGGTTCCACCTGAGCATGGCAGTGCAAGGGTCACCAGCTCCAAGCCAGGTGGCAGGCAGACACCCTCTGCCCCCTGGTCTGAGGGTCCTGCTTGGCAGCCCACATCCTCGCATGCTGGTCCTGCCTGAACACCCTCCTTGGCCACAGCCTGGCATGGTCTCCGGGGCCAGTGTCCCCCAGCCTCAGTGGCAGGGCCTCTGCACCCCTCCTGCTCCAGCACACCACATGCACCCAAGGCCCTTGGTCTCTATACTAGAGGTGCTTGTTGAGGGCTGTGGCTTCACTGAGGTGAAAGGCTCACTCCGAGGCAAGCAGCCTTTCACTGAGGTGAAAGGCTCACTCTGAGGCCACCCTTTCTCTATGCACCAGGCTCAGGGCCACCTGATCAAGTGAGGCAGGAGAGGCCCACCCAGGTTTCTGGAGAAAAGCTTGACTTCCTAAGAACTAACTGCATGTATGATCTGAAACTCTGCTGGCTTTGTCTTCTTTTCATTCTGTTTGATTGTGTGTTTCTTTAAAAGGTCTCAGACCCTCTGGGGGACATGGTGGGCACAAATACAGATTAAACTGTAGTAGAGTATAGCCCAGCAACCCAGGACTGCCAAGTTCACAGGCTGGAGGGGCTTTACCAACTGGTCAGGTGCTTTGAGTCCATTGTCTTAGAAGCAAAAGCCACAGTAACTTGTGCTCATCCTGGAAAAGGGAATACTGCTGTGCGCTCCAGACGGGAGGAGGAGGGAAGGGCCCTCCCTCCTGAACACACTCCAAACCCCAAAGGCCCCGGGGCACAGACCTCAGCAGAAAACCAAAGGAGGTGTTTCCCGGGGCAAGGAGTCTGCAGCTCAAGGAGGTCGTACAGACAGGAGGAGACAATTTGGCACTGGGTCAGAAGGAGCAAATGGCCTTGTACTGTCTGACTCACAAGGGCTCAGCAGGTGACAGGTAAGCGCTGGGGTGGACAAGGAGCTCTGCTCAGCTAGTGACCTCTCACCATTCCTTGGGTTATGAGCCAGCTGTCTATGGGCTCCAGGCCAGAGTCCCCACCTTTAACTCTCTTCTGGGCGGAGGACAGGAAAGTCCCAGAAAGAAAAGTCACAGCAAGACCCATGATAAAGAAGCAATAGCATATGTCATGGAAACAGAGGAGCCCTGGTTCAGGGTCGGTCATTTGTCATGTGAGGACATGTGACCCAATGTGTGCTCCCCCACCCCCACCAGGCCCCCTTACCTACCTGGAAAAGAGGAGGTTAGTAACCCAGCGTCCCAACAGGGTAACGTGTACTCATACCAACCATTCCGGGACACCTGGAAAATCTCCATGAGCCACAGAGATCGTCCAGGGCCGCTTCTCCCAATTAGGGCTCCCAGGGTTGGCAAAGGGTCCACTTACCAAAGAACCAGCTTTTACAGACCATTTGTATTTTTTTCTAACTTACTTTTGTTTTTTCTTCCCTTTTTCCTCCTTCTCAGTTACCTGTGTGTTCTTTTTCCAAACTCTTAATTTAAACTCTAAATTTGGGTATATTACCTTTTTTTGAAAAGGTAAAAGTATTTAAAGTTAAGAAAATTGATTTGGTTGCACTGTGGATGGCTACCATCTTCCCCTCCCTTACTTCCCCTCCCTTACTGTACTCTTAATTTCTCCCTTGACCCAATTTTCATTTCCAGGCCAGTGTGATTTAGTATATGGAACAATATAACCCGAAGAACTGGCCTGAAGATGCACATGAGCGAGTGTGTGAGTGCAAAGATACAAAGACACACACACATACACACACACACAGATATACAAACACACAGAAACAGGCACACACACAGATACACACACACACACAGATATACAAACACACAGAAACAGGCACACACACAGAGATACACACACACACACACACACAGATATACAAACACACAGAAACAGACACACACACAGAAACAGGCACACACACAGAAACAGGCACACACACAGAGATACACACACAGACACAGACAGACACACACAGAGATATACACACAGACCCCCAGAGCTAACAGAGCCCTGCTCCCCTGTAGTGCCCCATCGAGCAGTGAACATGAAAAGCAATCTGCCTCCCATCATGTGGAAAACATGCTGGAGTCATCAAGACCTTTGGAAACCGAGACTGTCCAAGGCACACCCCCAAAGGGTGAAGGGCGGAGCTGGCCACATGTGCTAACCTCAGACACAGGCGTGGGCACTGATAATGGCACGGGTGTGGTAGGGCACAAGTTGGCATGGACACGGTGGGCCCTGGAGACAGAGTGGGCAGCCTGGTTGAGGGATGCGGCTGCAGGCCAGCGAGGGCCAGGAGGGGTATCCTCGCGTGGCAGTGTGCTGGTGGCCCTCAGCCCAGCTCCCAAGCGCCCTCCCTGAGTTAGGGAGGAGGACATTCTAAATAATGGGAGAAACAGAGCCGTGGCCGCTGCATAGAGGTGGGAGTCTGGTCTCGGGGCTTTGGGTAGCACTGCCGGCCCTGCTGTGGAAAGGCAGGGTGCTGAGAGACCCAGGCAGCTGGGCCGGCTCTTCCGTGCCCCCTGGCGGCCAGTGCCGAGTCAGGAGGAACGGAGAGCCTTCCCCCGGGGCTAGCTTCACTAGGTGGCCAGGCTGCAGCATGGCTTCTTTCCTGGGTCCATCTGGACGGGGCTACAGGAGGCCAGAAACTGGCCTCCCCATCCGGTGGACAGATGAGCACTGCCCCTTTCTAGCCTAGCTGGGGGAGCTTCCCACCCTTACAAACAAACATTCACTAACACACTGCACACACATTTCTTAGGCAAAAGGGGAACAATCTCGCAAAAAGCATTAAGACATGAATCCTTTCCCCTGTGATGACCTGAAATCTTACAGAAACCAGGGTGCATTTGAGGCTCTGACGAACACCATCCTCCACTTCAAAGTATCTCTCTGCCTTTCACTCTGGTCCTTCCGGACAAGGAGCTTCCCAGAACACTTTCCTAGCCACCGCCCAACTGCTCTCCCACGCCTTCTGCCCCAGCTTCCCAAACAAATCCTGACCACTGGCTGCCTCCTAAGGAGGTTGGTGCTGCTTCTCTAGGCCTGCTACAAACGATCCCCAAACGTGTGACTCAGATCAGCATTTCCCTTCCTCAAGAAGGGTCATTATTCTGTCAGAGCACTGCTCACCCCCAGTGCACTGTAACATTTGGGGAGAGACCCACTCTGGCTACAGGAGACCGGTGCCCAGAGTGCTCAGGGACACCGAGGTGGAAGAGCAGGATCCTAGAGCTGGACCTCCTAGGAGTGGACCCCTGCTTGCTGTCTGCTGGCTGGGTGCCTCGAACATATGGCCACTGCTCTGGGCCTCTTTCCTATTGGGTGTCATGGGAAAGCTGCCCTGGGGATCACCCAAGGGGTGGGGTAAGGACTCAATGAGGTAATATAGCACTCTCGTCCAGGCTTCCCCAGCATGTCCTGCCCTCCACACAAGCCACCTTCTGCTTAGTTACCTAGCCAGCTTTACCAGACAAGCTGGCTTTCCCTCCAGAGGACTTCAGGCAGGAAAACAGGGTTAAAGACCTACCACTTCAGAGATGTGTTTACGACTGTCTAGGGCAGAAGCAAGTCCTCCGACAGCCTGGGGATCCTCGCAGGTTACCCTAGAGACAAGCAGCACAAGCGGAGTTAGTGCCCCCAGGAGTCTCAGGGGTGGTGTGGTGACTGTAGACACTCTCTACCCATGGCACCTCCCTCACATGTACATGGAGGAACGTTTCCCACAGCCTTGGCAACTGGGCAGAGGCCAGGGCTCATTGCTAGTCTGACTGCCACCGAAGAAAGGAGGCTGCCTGGCTTCTAGACTAGCTTGGCCACTCACTTCTTCTGGTGTCGGGACACTGCTCAACGTTACTTTCTTAAGCAACAACACTGGGGCATACCTAAGGCTGGATGACAGGATATGGGAAGTAACCTGAGACTGCTCAGAGGGGAGGGGAGATAATGGTGCAGCCTCAGTGGCATGTGACAAGGCAGGCGTGGGATAGGGGCCTGTCACTGACTCTAAGGGCTGTCTTTCTCTGCTCCCTGACCTCCTTCACTACATCCATTTTAAAAGCAACTTTTGCTGGTGGGGAGTGCAGGGGGCCTTGGGTTTCTAGCCACCCTGTGGATTCTGGAGCACAGGACTCAGAAAACTGAATGCGTCAAGATGCTGAGCCCCTGGGAAAGGCTGGGAAAAGTGTTCCTCACCTGCCTACAAGCTGAACAGAGAGCTCAGAGCCTGTTCTGGTGCCCCCTGAGATGCAGGGGATTGTCTATTTTGGAATAAACTCCCCCAATCCCATATGGCTCATCCTGGCCAGAGCTGCTGCCAGGGAAGCCTCTGCCCACACGCCTGGGAATCTGTAGTCCCTGCCGGTGGCACCCTCCTGGCTCCCAGCTCCTCCCACAGTGAGGCTTCTGCAGCAGCAGCACCAGAAGCAAAGAGAACAGCAGGACACTCTCTCGACTGACAGGAGAACTCCAACTACAATCGACCCCAAGCAGGGGGGCTGGCATGCATTCAACATCTGTGTCTACTGCCAAGGCCTCACAGCCATATTTCAAAGTTCTTGGCAGTCCTAGACCTGGTGAATAAAAGGCCTCTTTGTGTTGGCCCGTGACCAGGCCTGGATCAATCCTCCCCCAATATCTTCCAAGAGCCACCGAAATGATCCCTACATACGCCTTGTGCTGCTCAGCCAAGGAGTTCCCTCTTGTCTGGGCGAATGTGCCACGAGGATCGCACTGCTGGAGTGAGCTGAGGGCGCCGCTGACACTCTCTGTCCCCAGGTCTGTGGGTCAAAGAAACAAGGGAGGATGAGAGCAAAATGTGGGTCATGGATGTAACGGCAGGGCCCAGAGTTAAGGTGCCAGGCAAGCAGATTAAAGCTCTGGGGTGGACACAGGCTTTCCTCAGCACTCCCAGGCCTCCGTGCGCAGGAGGAGCCACAGGTGCAGTCCAGGTAGAGAACAGCCACTGGGCCCCAGGCTGCGCAAGGCGGGGAAAGTCATCGTGAATGGAAGGGAGAGCGCTGGCAGTGAGGGGGGGCCTGGGCCCCTGCAGATTTCCCATGAAGCCCTTATCTGGGGGCTCCTCACTCAATCATAATGTCTAAGGACCTGGGCCATTTAGTTTTTTGACAAATATTTTGCAGGTACCCACCACATTCAGAACTAGATCCTGAGCAGACCAAACTGCATCTGATGTGGTCTTTGGTATCAAGGAGTGCAGAGTGGATGGGAGGCAGGCAGACAGCAGTACTTAGCTTGGGACATCGGGAAAAGCTCAACATTGACACAACAATGGGTCTTAAGAACAAGTGGGACTCTCCCTGGGGAGAAGGGGTGAAAGACAGGCAGGTACAAAAGCATAGGCCTGGAAGTCAGGGTATGCGCAGTGAACAGTGCTTGTGGGGAGAGGAATGGGAGACAAGGCTGGAAAGGCAGGTGGGGGATAGTTGGTGAAAAGCCTCAAATGCCAGGCAAAGGTGTTGACGGCCATATGCTGGTGGGCTGAAGGGGGAGAAACCTGTTCTGAAAGAGGAACAGGGGCTACAAATATGAGATACTGAAAAGCCAGAAATAAAAGCTCAATTGAAATAAAATGAAGTTATAAGGATAAATATTAAGAAATAAGAAAACAGAAAAGCAGGGTAGAAGAGAGAATTTTGAGCCTGGCTGAGGTGGCTCAGTTGGTTGAGCATCGACCCCATGCACCAGAAGGCTGCTGGTTTGATTCCCCGTCAGAACACATGCCTGGGTTGAGGGCTCAATCTCCAGTAGGGGGCGTGCAGGAGGCAGCTAATGGATGGCTCTCTCTCACTGATGCCTCCATGTCTCTACCTCTCCCTTCCTCTCTCTCTAAAATCAATTTAAAGAAACGAATTTTGAGAGGCCCATGTTTATTATTTCAATACTATAATTTTGATAAACTGGCATCATACTGTGCATTTGTAGCACTACAGTCCTATTCACTCACACTTTTAAACTGAATGAAGTGGAAAAGTGGTGTTTCTCATTTCAGGCTGCAGACAATAGAATACTTTAGCTGATGTTAGTTCTAAGAGAGCAAATATGTCAGTGCCATCTCTTCCTATTTCCAAGCCAGTGGCAGACATCACCAATCAATCACAGACTCATCCTTCCAAGCCCTGAAGTGGCTTCAGCATCCCCCTAGACCTGTGTTCCAAGCAGCCAGTGAGCTGAAACCTCTTTGCCATCCTTGACCTACCTAGTTGATATTGAGAAGGAAATCACTTCAACCATAAGGAATATTCCAGATCAAACACAGGCCCACCTTTCTTTCAAAAGCAAACAACTTCCCATTCCTTGGAACTCCCCCAACCCCTGCTTTCCAACGTATGTTAAAACTATAAGTTTAGGGCCCAGCCAGCACAGCTCAGCAGTTGAGCATCAACCTAGGATCCAGAAGATTGCGGTTCGATCCCCAGTCAGGGCACATGCCTGGGTTGCAGGCTCGATCCCTAGTGGGGGGCATGCAAGAGGCAGTTGATCAATGACTCTCTCATCATTGATGTTTCTATCTCTCCCTCTTCCTTCTGCTCTCTGAAATCAATAAAGATATATTTAAAAAAAAAAAAAAAAAGACATATTTTAAATTAAAAAAAACAACACCTAAAAAAAGCGCCCACTTTTAAGTTTAGGGAAAGAAATTATGAACTGAAGGTGGTACAATTGGCCAGGACTCAGGAATACACTTTTCCATGGACTACCCAAAAGGCTCTCTTCAGGCCTTCCAACAAAGAGAGAGAAGGTTGGCCTCAGCCCAGACTCACAGCCAGGAAGTGGCCTGCGAAGGAGGTCCTTCACACCCCCAGGGGATACTCACCCAAGCCAGCAAGCTGGGACGAGAGGGAAGATGGGGGTGCCGTGCCCCCCACCATTGGGCTCACCACGGCTGGAGAGCCTGGCCCCAGGTCTATTAAGTTGTCTTCAGTCACTTCATTCAGCACCTGTAGAGCAGGATATGGCAGTGAGCTCTGAACCCTGTGCCAGTATCCAAGATCAAAGCCAGCTGGCACAGTGCAGGTCTCAACGCTGCACCAATACAGGAGCAAGGCAGTTTCCCTCATGCTGATATCAGGGTCCACTGTGGGTCCTGCCCATTAGTGAGCCCCTATCCACTGACCCCCTTAAAGGATGCAGGGCAGAGATAGTCCCCAGGGACAGGATGGGTTTCTTTGCCACCCTTTGCCAGGGATGTGCCTGCTAGCTCTTCCTCAGTGTCCCATCAACCAGAGCTTGCTGTTCAGTTAACCAAATAGTTTAACCCCAGCTTAAAAAACAGGTAAGAACAAACTGAGGCAGCTCTTCCAGTCTTCAGAGTTGAGAGAATTCTGAAGGAATACTTACTCCATTACTGGCATTTGGAACCGATCGGCCTGACCTGTATCGCTCGAACCTAATGGGGGAAGGAGAGCAGAGTGAAGAAAGGGGTTCGTAGGGCACTGTGATGCTCACTGGCCCTGTGAAGAGAGTCTGGGGACCGAGATTCCAGGAAAGGAGACCAACCAAGCCCATTTTAGGGGCTAGGAGAGTGGACCACACATGCACTTCACCACACCTTCCTCTGTGTGGGGCTCCCCTGAGAAGGGTCAGCCTCCTGGCTTCACCCATGGGCACCCTGAGGTGAGGGAGGAGGGTGTGGGTTGGCACCTCCAGTCATCCCCTCATATCCTGGGCCCAGGTGCTTCTCTTGTCACTGGAGGGACAGGATAGACCATCCATTCTACCTGGGGGCAAAGCCAGGCAAAAAGCCCTATTTCACAGAGGGCAGGCACCTAGAGGAGGAGACAGGCCCAGGCCTCTGGCTAGTGAAACCCCTCAAGAGGGGCTGCCGGTCATCTCCACATCCAGCCTGTTGGCTGCATACTGGCCGAGGATGGGACTTGGCTTAGAGCAGCTGCAGAAACCCTCATCTCTCTTACCTAGGTGGGAAACAGAAGAGCAATTGTGAGGGGTGTGAGGGGCTGCCGTGACATTGAAAAGTTCCCAAATGTCAAGGGCAAAGAGGTAGCTCGGAGACTTCCTCCAGCTGGACCCTGGAGAAATCAGACTTCACAGGGTCTCCCCCCACCTGCTGGGGTCAGCGCCTGGTGAGCAGGGACCTCCACAGGGAACAATCTGGTTAGGACATGTGTGCTGCTGTTGCTTTAAGAAAGACTCGCTTTCCGAATCATGGCCTATGAAGAGGGCAAGTCCATCTGGAAAGCTTCCTCTCCCACGTTGTCTGTCAGCATGGCACTCAGGGCTAATGGCCTCAGGCTCTGACTGAGTTGTGGTGGCCCTGGGACCGGCAGGCTCAGGTCAAAGTGCCCACACTAGCTCCTGTCATTCTGCTCTATAAGGGGCTGGAATGGGTGTAACAGGTTAAAAGTCAGGCCCATTTAAAAGTCAGGACTACAAAGCAAGAGCAAGAGGTCTTGGGCTGGGAGTCAAGACGCTTCAGATTTGCTCCTGTTCTCCAACTGACACATCCCTGGTGGCCTCACATTCTTTCTGCAGAGGTTTCTTCACCTGTCAGGTGGTCACAGGGCCACCCTTCCCTACTGCCTCAGTTGAAGCAGAGACAAATCCCAGGGTTGTGACAACCACAGCAAAACCTCCCTCTAAGATCCCAGTGCAAATCCCTATCACACTGAACTTCACGGTGCCAGGCCGTCATGCCACGAGTCAGTGAGGGGCCAGGACCCCAGGCTCTAGGGGACTAGGGGCTTCAACTCAGAAGAAGGTTGGCCTGGTCAAGGTACCTTCTGGGGCTGACATTGGGGAGCTCAGGAAGTTCAGAAAGGTCACTCAGGAAAGCCTGAGGTGTACCCACCAGTGTGAAGGCAACTGCTTGCCTTCTATCTCCTATTGAAAACTGCTCCTTAACAAAAGGCTCTGCACTGTTTCTGGAGGGAAGGCTCTAGAAAGGGAAAAGAATCTGCAAGTCTGTTACCTCAAACCCCCAAACGATCTGGCGGCAGAAGAACTGGAATGAATGCCTTTCCCTGCGTGGCAGCATCCCAGCCCTCACACCCTGCCTCCTGCTGAACACGAGACACACTCACATTTGCAAAGGAAGGAAAAAAATCTCCTCTTTTCAAAGATGGGAAAGAGAAAAGTCTTTTTCCTTAGTAGACATTTTTTCCCTTTAATCCTTTTCAAATTCAAAGGATCTTCAAAGCAGCAGGTGCAGAAGCTCGAGGGCCTCCGGGTGCCCCAGCCCTTCCCTCCTGGGGCTGGGGATGGTGAGGAAGGCGAGCAGCCTGAGGCTTACAAAGGCAGAGCCCAGGAGAACAGGAGGCATTTTCCCTGCCATCTGGGGACAAATTAGCATCTCTGATGAGTACTTTCCAAATCTAATCCCTCTCCCTTTGGTCTATGAAAGAAATCCCTCTGTATGACAATAATCTTTCTAAGGGGAAAAGAAGGTGCCTGCTCCCACCTCTCGTATCTGAGGAAGACATTGTTGAGGGCGTCGTTGACGTGTAGCAGCTCCTCTGTGATCTCCTCATTGCACACGCGGGAGATGAGCTCCACGACGCGCTGTTGCATGGCCCGGCAAGTCCTGTTCAGCTCCTGGGGACACACACCTGGCTAGCCTGCTGGCTGTGCCTTTTGCCACATTCTAGTTCCTTTGGGAAAATGTGTACTGCTTCTTAAAGTCACAAAAGGAGTATGTTCTTGTCCATAACACCAGATGCACGTAGGATGTAAAGTAGAAGGCCCTCCCTCACTGCCTCCGCATACTCCAGAGGAAACCCATTCTTTTCAGCAGATAGACACATGTCCATACCTGTGTACTGTTGTGTGTACATAACTACATGTTTGTACAAATAAGTATAAGATATGATTCTCTGCAGCTGGCTTTTTCTCTTCAACAGAATATTCTAGACACTTCACACGGTTTCATCCCTTCGTGTATATGATAATGTACCGCACCACTCTTCTATTTTGGGGCATTTAGGTTGTGGTCTCTCTTTTTTTGGGCAACCCAATTAATGCAGCAACAAACATTTGTGTGCATACATGCTCATGCACTGTGCCAGCACCTCCACGGGGCAAATTCCCAGGTGTGGAATTTCTGGTTGAAAGGGCATGGTCATTTAGAAAATTTATTGGTAATAGTAAAAGACCCTTCAAAAAGATGAGATCGGTTTATTTACACTTCCAGCAACAGCATGAGTATATTTTATGACTCCATTAGGTATTCACTGCGAAGGGTGATGAGTGTCCAAGGCTTGATCCTGCAGGTAAGAGCAAGGTTGGGACCTCAACAGACCAGCTCATCACAGAGTAAGTAGACTGGCCAGCCAGACACAGGCCTGGACACTGTTTCTGTGGCCACTCTTCCAGGGCTGCTCAGCCCC